ATGCTGAAGGTAATCACTAGAGATTTATATTTACTCTCAACTGGGGCCCACATACCCAATTTGGATGAATGGCTGCCTTAAGGCAGAAGTACGTGGGAGTTTCACATTCTTGTCTATTCAGTTTTTCTCCAACTTGGATAAAAAAGGATTTTCCCCCCAAGAGATAAAAACTGCCTAGCCAGTGGTGAATTATCCTGGGGATACACACAGATGTTAAATGTGCTCATGTGTGACCAGAGAGAGGAGTCCAAAGACAATGTCATTCCTGAATCCCCCCTGCTTTGTTGTTGGAAGAAAGTAATTGATTTTTTGGGTAGTGCCAGTCTTGAGGGTTACCTTAAAAGTGGGAAGGAAACAAGAATTTATTAAGTGCTTACTATGTGCCAAGTTAGGGGCACAAATACAAACATGAACTCCCTGCCCTCAGAGAGTTTATACCCTAATAGGGGAAGACAATTTACCAAGGGAGTGGAAAGAATGAATGTACTTGGATAGGGGCATGTTTTTTAAATCTGAAAGACAGGAACAGGGTTGAGAGAGGAATAGAGGCCAGCTTGTGCCCCTGCACAAAATATAGACTCCAGAAGGGAATGGGAGGATGGAAGAAGGGGATGGATTTTACAGAGGGATGTTTCAGGGAGAGAAGGCCCCAGGAACTAAAGGAAGTTGCAGGATGAGATAGTAGCAGGGTAGCTCTAAGTTTGAAAGTTCAGAAATTTGATCTTTCGCAAAAAACAGGGGAATTCTTGAGTGGCATGCCTCTTGGAGATAGAAGAGGTTGCCCACCTAAATTCCATGCTAGAATAATAATAGCTATTACTATGAGTTACTGGATAAGGTAAGTCCAATGGGAAAGGAAGCCCCAAAGGAACTATGCTTTCTGGGGTAAGTCCAAAACACAAGGTGGCATTACAAGTCTTGGAGGGACTTGAGAGAACCCCCAGGGAGAGCTGGGGATTCTCTGAGCAGTCAGAAGTGTGACTCTGTTGTCAGTTCCTAGCCCAGTTCTCTGTAAGGGAGCCGGGCTGCTGTGAGGCCTTTGTGTTTTCTCTGTTTATGGGGTCTTGTGCATGTTCTACGCTTTCTGCATTTTCTGTGTGGTGAAATTAAGGCTGTTTGGGAGGGAATATTGTGGAAATTGAGACATGAACATATTTGGAGACTTCTCGAAGTAATCTGTTAGAGGAGACACATAAAGCCAAAGTGAATATGGCCTTTCTGGGTCAGCCCCTCGGGATCAGACCCATTGCATGTAATCCTAGAGTTTGAGGGCACGCTAGACCATATGTGGAAGACAGACATTGGTATGTTAAGGGTTAAAAGAAATCAATATTTGCAATGGACCTCTAATCTTTGAGGTTGATATCAAGGAGGAAATCTTTGCCCAGGCAGAAAACATTCCCTGGTGCTTTTTGTCAGAGGCTGAATCTTGGCTAGAACAACCATGAGAGTGATCAGTTTGTGAAATCTTAAATTGACTAGATGTAATTTCTTCATTTGGGTTGTAAACTACTGGTGGCAAGGGGCTATGTCTTGGACTTCTTTTGATCCCCCTCTCTGACCTGCCCCACAAGTACTTAGCACAATACAAAGTAGATGCTCAACAAGCATTAGATTCTTAGTTAAGAGATTTGTCCAAATCCTGAAGATTGTGACAATTAAAACTAAATGCTAAATTTTTGCGAAGGCCACTTTTGATGGGTTCAAAAGATCTAACTACTCTTCTCCTTAAGACCCAGGATTACCTTCCCTCTTGTCACAGCTCATCAGTCATTACAACTGTATTTTTTAAAAATGTTGTTTGTTCCTTGGTCATGTTGATTGACAACATAATCTTTTAGCAAGAGGAGGGGCCTTTACCTTCACCAATCGCAGTGGTGATGTTTGCTCTGTGCTGTTTCTGAAAGAACAAGCAACTTCTTTCCCTATCCTTTGATTTCAAAATAAAGAAAGTGATAGGGAAAGATATTTAAGTGATCCGTTGCTGAAACAACTCTAGAATTTTAGGAAAGACAAAAAAATAAAAGGAGGACTGGGAAGAACTGAGATTTCTTTTCCTAGATACATCATTTTCCTCCCCCATTCTCTCTTGTTCATAATTTGTATAATGTCAACAGAAGAACAATAAATGTTAGACTGAAAAAGGAAAAGCCTGTCCTTTAAAGGGAACAGTTCCTCCAGGTCTCAGGCTCATAAATATTTGTGGACATAGGGAAAAAAATTGCATTTTAACAGTCATCAACATAACTTAAGACCAGCAATATTTTTTTTTAATTTAAAGGGGTAGGAGAATGGATCCTGCTCAGAAAATGAGTCCAGAATGATTGTTTCCCCACCCCACTCCCATCTGAACACATTTGGGTCCCCATGGGCAGGGTCATATGGGCATAGTAACAACAGCCATTTACATAAGACTCTAGAGTTTGGCAAAGTACTTCATTATCTTATTTGATCCTCATGACCTGTGAAGTAAGAGCTCTAGACATCCCCTTTGTTCAGATGAGGGAAGTTAAGAGACTTCATGAATGTGGGATGTAAACACAGGTCTTCTTGATCCAAAATTAGATCCCTATTCCCTGTGCCATGTTCCATTTTATCCAAGAGAAAACAGAGGCAGGGTAGAGACTAGAATCCAATCCATAGCTCTGATTCTGACTCCCCACCGACAGCACCATCCATAACCCTACAATGCCTCTCTTAACGGTGTGTTACTATTATTGACAAGAAGAAGAAAGCCCACCCTGTCACACTTTCCCCAATTCACCTTCACACTGGGTTCTCAGGCATCAGGTGGGAAGTCTTCAGGAATTTCTCCCAGCCACCTCACCACCCCTTACCTAACTCTTAGGTCTCACAGCCAGCAATAGGTATTAAATCTTGTGGGAGCATTGGCAAGATACAATAGAAACTGTTAGAGAAGAGCAAGCTCCTACAGCAGGGAAAAGAACATAGGTTGTTTCTGGTGTTCTTCTGGCACTGTTAAGTTAGTCCTTCATTTGGGAAAATACAGTTTGCTTTAATATAAAAAGGCATAATAGATAACTCCTTTTGAACCCCAGTATTATTTTGGAAAAATCAAAACTGTTTCTTCTAACAAGCTTTTTTTTTTCCTGGTAGATAATTCTCTGAGTCACCTGACTTGCTTTATTTCAGAAATCTATACCAACATACTGATACTCAATGAGTGTTTAGCAATAGAGTTGTCAGGGAAAATGATCAATGACTAGAGAAAACTACTTGGCTTTTCTACCACTCTAGCTTACAGGTTTATTATTTTAAGCTAATGTGGTGAAGCCAAATAATGCCCTACTAAGTGGGAGCTTATTTCACTAAGAGGTGAAATATCTGGCATATTTCCCCAGTTTTCTATTGGTTTTCTAAATTTGTTTTCTTTCTGACCTACCTCTCAGTGATTTTCTGCTAGCCTGGTTCACACCCTTCTTCCTTAGGTAAGATTCTTTCATCCAAGTTGTAAAATTTCTAAAGTCTGCATTTTTTTTTTAAAGTTCTCAGTTTTCTTTTTTTTGTTGTTGTTATTTTTGGCTAGACAATGGGGTTAAGTGACTTGCCCAGAGTCACACAGCTAGTAAATGTTATGTGTCTGAGGCCAGAATCGAACTCAGGTCCTCCTGAATCCAGGGGCAGTGCTCTATCCACTTCACCACCTAGCTGCCCCTAAAGTTCTCAGTTTGCTCTGATCCTCCCTTTCTACATTTCAGGCCTATCACTTCCCTATCATCCACATCAAGTCAGAGATAACTGTTTTCCTTATGCAAATATGAAAAAAAGAGTGTGCATTCATTACTTGAACATTCCACAAAATGGTGGAACAAAGTGGCTCAAATGTGGCCAGAGCCCTAAAGAAAGCCATTCTGGGTTTAAACAATTTTCAGTGCAACTAAATAATCATTTTTGAGCACTAATTATGTACAAGGCACTGTGTTATTTTCATATTATTAGCATTCAGTAAAACTTTGTTGAACTGAATACTGAAGCACTAGGTAGTGAAGGGGATAGTTCACATCTGAGTTCAAATCTAGCCTCAGATACTGGCTCTGTAACCAGTCTTAACTGCTGTCTGCCTCAGTTTCTTCAACTGTAAAATAGGGATGATAATAGCATCTACCCCCCAGGATTGTTGTGAGGACCAAATGAGATAATATTTGTAAAATGCTGGGATATAGTAGGCATTACATAAAAACTTATTTCCTTCTCTTCCCTCGGTTTGTTCAATGAAATCATCTAAATGTGATTAATGGAGAATTAGCTGTATTACTGAGTGTAATTTTCTCAGCTTCTATTGTGAAGCCTCCCAGGAAGGAGTTGAAATAACACTGGTAGACTAGTCAATTTAGTCCTTAGGAAAAAAATGCAGATTTTGTCCTTTGATGGAACTGGTGAGCCTCAGCTGGTGTTTTTTGTGGATCTGTAAGCTTGTATGATTGTTACATCCCAAAATATTTTCCCTAGAGGCCTTGAAACCTTGAAATCTTTAGGTTTTTGGCTCCCACTTTTTGGCTTAAGGTCAAGGTCAACAATCTATGGTACTCAATCTAACTTGCATACCGAGTGATTTTGAGGAGTATGGTTAGAGCCAGTCACGTTGAAAATTGTTGAGTAGTTATATTTTTCCCCTGGAGTCTCCTTATCCCCTTTTTTCTGAGAATTACTTACTTCCCCCAACGTCAGATTTTATTTCTAAGTTGGTTGTTAATTACTTCTAATGTGTGTTCTAACAATAGCTTTGTAGCTACAAAGGAAGTTCAACAAGAGAAAAGCCTTCCTTTTTATGTAACAAACCCTAACTCTACCAAACAGACTACTAAAAGGAGTTGGAAACCAGTTGGTAGCAGCTGAGACCTCTGGCATGCTCCACCCTTCCTCCATCAGGGTGTGAATGAATGAAGATTTGCAAACCTTTATGACAGATTCCCACCACTTGAGTTAAAGTATGGAAGACTCTTGTTCAAATTCAAATATATTATTTAATTAAACCCTTATCAGTCTATAAGACCTTAGAATAATAAACAGAATCACAGGATCTCAAATTTGAAAGTGAGATGAGACAACCCCTGGTTCAACCCAAAAAGGAATCCCCTCTATAGCATCCTGTGAAAGTAATCAAGATTCTGCCTGAAGACCTCCCTAAATGGGGTTAAATATTATCTCCTGAGACAGCCTAATCCACTTTAGGAAAGCTCTAATAGGGAGCTCTTGCTTTACATTGAACCCAATCTGCTTCCTCTACAAATGACGCTCCTAGCTTTGTCCTCTGGTGCCAAGCCAAGCAAGCCTAATCTCTCTACTACATAATAGCACTTGAAATACTTAACAGTAGCTCTTAGGTCCCCTTAAATCTTTTCTTCTTCAGGCTAAACACCCATGTTAATTCGACTGATCCTCTTATTACATGGTAAGGTGACCAATTCCCTTACTGTCCTGGTCATCCTTTGTTGAACTTGGTCCAGTATGACAATATCTATTACCAGTCTCATCATCTATATGAGCTCTTAGAGATTTGGCCAGATGATAGATAAATATGGATCAGTAAAGAGGAACAGGAGGGTTCCATGGCATGGAGTACTCCTTGAAGGCAGTCTTGGAAAGGGCATCAAAGGAAGACCTGTGCTCACCAGTCCAGTGGTCCAAGCTTGATCAGCTCCAAGCTGATGGAATTATTGGCCATGTTGCTGAACTGCTGATCCCAGCCAGGGCAAGCGAAAAAATGTTCACTGCTGTGGATGTTTCTTTGGTGCTTCTTTAGGTCATGCATTCGAGTGAAAGGACGCCCACACTCAGGGCATGGGAAGGGCCGTTTACTACCTGGTACACGCTGGTGCACACGCAGGTGCTTCTTCAGGCCCTGTTTTTGGGCAAAGTGATGCCCGCATTGAGGACAGAGGAAGGGGTGCTCACCAGTGTGCACACGCTGGTGCTTCTTCAAGTCTTGCTTTTGGGAAAAGTGATGCCCGCATTCAGAACAAGGAAATGGCCGCTCACCACTGTGCACACGTTGGTGCCTTTTAAGATCCTGCTTTTGGGCAAACTGGCGCCCACACTCAGGGCAGGGAAAGGGGCGCTCCCCACTGTGCACATGTTGGTGTTTCTTGAGGTCCTGCTTTTGGGAGAAGCAACGCCCACACTCTGAGCAGGCAAAGGGACGTTCCCCACTGTGCAAATGCTGGTGCTTCTTGAGGTATTGCTTCTGGGTAAAGCAGCGCCCACACTCTGGGCAGGGGAAGGGGCGCTCGTTTCTATGTACCCACTGGTGTTTCCTCAGGTACTGCTTCTGGGCAAAGCATCGCCCACACTCAGGGCAGGGGAAGGGGCGTTCCTTGCTGTGCACCCACTGGTGGGTCATCAGGGCTGACTTCTGCCGGAAGCACTTCCCACATTCTGGGCAGGGGAAAGGCCGTTCCTTTGTGTGTACTCGCTTGTGCACCTTAAGCTCATGACGCCTCTTGAAGTGCTTTCCACATTCAGGACAATGGTGAGGTTTCAGGGAAAGCTCATTCTCAGAGGCTAACTCCTGGTTCTGTATCTTCTCCATGAGAGCTCTCTCACCTGGAGAAAGGCTATGCAAGACTCCATTATCTCTCTTGTTGCCTCCAGGCTCAGTACTCATCAAACTATCCATCTGTCCAGGGGGTAGGAGATTTGCTTCTTGAAACTTTTTGTGGCTGGAGGGCTGAGAATCTGTTTCACCTTGTTCCCCTGGGAAATCCCCACTCAATTGCTGTTTCCTAGGATTTTCTTTCCGAGGACACTTCCTGACCCCAACACCTATAAAGAGAGAAAAAAAGTCAGTATTCCCTCGGGGCTTCTAACAAGGGATTGTGGGAAGGGAATTGCTCATAGGACATAGCATTAGGACTGAAAGGGATCTTAGAGGTCATCCAGTCTGATCCCTTCATTTTATAGAAAAGTGAGGCTTAAAGAAGTTAAGGTTCTTGACCAAAGTCACACAGAAGTGGCGTAAGTGGAACCTAAGCAGTGGTGTGCTAGCCTACCTTGAATTGGAGCCAACTGTTAAAATTTTCATTGTGAGCATTGACACTTCTGAAACTGGCAAATGCTACAAATTAGGGCTTGATTTTTTTGTCTTTTATTAATTGTCTAGATTTAACAAAGTGATGGAGAAAATGCTAATAATGCAGATTAAACTTAAAAATATGTCATAGGTACATTTCCGCCCCAGAGACCTAATTGTTGAATGTTTACCAGCACACCACTGGATCCAAGTCTTCTGCTTCCAACCAACACCAGTGCTTATCTACTGTGCCACAGAACAGGAACAGTCTAAGTCCCCATGACAACTAGTATTATATAAATGTGAGTGCTCAATCCATGACATTTGCTGGCTGACTGAGTTCCTGACCAAAGTCAGTCACCTTAAAAGAGCTTGAAGGAAAATCCTCACCCAAGTATGAGCTTTCCAAATTATCTCTTCTCAACAAGTTCTGCTGATCTTCCCAGGTTTCAAAGACCTGTCCCAATGTAGTGAATAGCTCTGGCAGGGCTCCCAACCTGCCTGTTGGAAGCAAAGTCAACAAAATTCTCAGTATGTGCTTCTATTATGCCAAGGTTTACTTCCCACAAACACCTGCTTTCTTAGCTAGCTGTGCTGAGGCCCATTGCCCAACCAAGCCATAACTGATGTCAGGTTATGAGAACATGAGGTGTGTCCAAAGCTCTGTGCATGTGCATCAACACATCCACCTTGACATCCTCTAGTACAGGGTTGGGGACCCTTTGGCCTTGAGGCTCCTGCGTTGGGCAGTACCTTGGTTTCCAAGAGTTTATCCTAATCTGGTTGTCGCCATTTCAACCCTTAAGATCTCTACTGCCCTTCCCCCACCTAAATCTATTCCTTTAATTCACACCCCTGGGGACCTTACCCAGATTTTCTTGCCTCCTAAATGGATATGAGTCAAAATTATTCTCTTCAGTAAGAGCCTCTTACCTGCCTATCAGATCTATTTCTCACAATTCTCCAATTCAGACACTAGATAAGAGAAGTGAAAGAAATTTTCTCCACCTTTCCTGAAACTGAATCGTCCCCACAGGTAAATGAATGAAAAATCAAAACTCACCAACACTCAAAGAACTCAAGGTTTCATAGTTCTCTTTCATCACATCCCGGTACAACTGCTGTTGCCAGGCAGCCAACATCTCCCACTCTTCCTGAGAGAAAGTGATGGCCACATCCTCAAACGTTAGGAAGACCTGAAACCACCAGTCACACAATGTCTTATTCCAGTCTTTCCAGGGTTCCCCTGAAAACCCATTAACAGTTCTCATCCATAGTTAGCTTAGGATACTTATGATTCATTCCCCACATTAGGACTCTTTCTTTCTCTTCTTTCCCCACTAAGCTAGTCTGTGGCTGAGAACCCTGACAAGGACTTGGTCTCCAGAGACCACTGTTTGAATGTGCTATTTATCTAGAAAGGTCCTGATTTGGATGAATGAAAGAGAAAGCAGCCTTCTTCTACCTTTCTCACTAGCACACAAGTATGGATTAGTTTATTTATTTATACAATTGTCAATTATATAAGACTGACAGCCTTAGGCAATGAGAATTAGGACAGATAATTTTCACCAGTATGGCAACATGAAGAACTGGTTCAGAGTCGTTTAACAGCTAGCATTTATGGAGTTCTTCAAGGTTTGTACAGCACTTTACAAATACTATTTAATTTTATCCTTACAACAACCCTGGGAGGTAGGTATTATTATTATCCTTATTTTATAGATGAGTAAACTGAGGCATAGGTGACTTGCCCAGGAACACATAGCTGGTAAGTGTCTGAAGACATTTAAATTCAGATTTTCCTGACTCCTGGCCCAGAGCTCTATCCGTTGTGGCACCAGCTGCCGCTTAAGAAATAGCTTTTTCACTGCTCACTAATTTGGAGCAGGCTGACTGTCACCCCTATCCAGAAAGAAGGCTTCTAATTCAGCCCCAAAACCTTGGGAGGAGCCCTCACTCACACCCTGAGTCCCCAACAAGTTCTGGTTTAGGACTTCATTATGTCCTTGGTGGAACAGTGAAGAGAGCACTGGGCCTGGAGTCAGGATGAAGTGAATTCAAATCTGGCCTCAGATACCTACTAGTAGTGTGACCCTGAGCAAATTATTTAACCTATCTCTACCTCAGTTTCCTTATCTGTAAAATGGGGATAAATAATAATAGTATCTAATTCTCAGGGTTGTTGTGAGGATGATATAAAATAACACTTGTAAAATGCTTTGCAAACTAGAGTGCTCTGTAATCCTAGATACTGTACTAATTTTAATTATTGCCTGACATAATAGGTACTGCTGCCTCCAACCTCTCAATTCCCTAACTCACCCTTCATACTGCCATCCAAGTGAGCTTCCATTGCTCACGTTACTCTACCCAAAAACCTTCCGTGGCTCCTCTTTTGTCTCCTGCATCAAATATAAAATCCTAATGCTGGCATTCAAGAGCCTACCTCCCTCTCTCTTTTTCAGACTATTCCCCTTCACATATTTATACTGCACTCCAGCCAAACTGTATATTCAGCTACCACCCTCCCCCCTGTTTTATTCTCCTACCTCCACATCTTTGCTCAAGATGTCCCCTTCACCTAGAAAGAGCTCCTGCCTCCCCTACCCTATCTCTACCTCACTTCAAGACCCAACTCACCCTCCAGTCCGTGCCCTTGCCCCACAGCTGCAAACCTCTCACCCTCCTCAAATCTCTCAAAACTGTTTTGACCTCCATTTTTTTCACTTATCACATCGTGCTCCTGCATTACAGTTACTTATATACACATCTGTATATGTATATTATATTATACATATTAGATCATAAGTTCCTTGAAGACAGAGACCATGTCTGATTTTATCTTTTTATCTTCAGCATCATAGTGCTTTTAACATAGTAGGAACTGAATATTTGTTGAATTGAATAGAATTGGATACCCAAAACTGTGAATGTGCCTGTGCAGAATCCTGGCTTTGTCCTTCAGAGTTTAGGAGTGACTCAGGCTAATTCACAGGGACAAACACCCACTTTGGACATATAGCTAATACACAAACACACAATCTTGGAGATACATACCCACATATTATTACAAAGTCATAGGCACAGTCACAGTTGAACACATCTACAGAGCTGTAAACACACAATACTTTTCCTGCCTCAACACAGAGACAAAAATAAATATATAGGGCTGTCCTCAGAGACCCACAGGGAAATGAGGTACAGGTTAAAACACATGATCCTCCATCTCCCCATTCTGGAAAAATACTCATAGAGATGAAATCTAGTTAATACAAACCTTAAAGTCAGCTTTTATGGGAAAAATAAATCACAAAGGGCAACAAGAACATGAATATGAGTATGAAAGCAGGAGTACCACTCCTTTGTTTTTGGTGATAGTGGTGTGGGATATGGGGGGGTAGTAATCTGAAAGAATAGAGGTTCATATTGCCTTTTTTTTTTAAAGTACTAGTTAGCTAAATCACCATTTCCTCTACTATCTACTTTCCAATCTATGAGTCACCACCTACATAGCTCCTTTACAGCAGCGGGGAGTAATAGTGGTGGGGTCTCCAAAGCAGAGGGAATGTGGAAATCCCTCCAATTTCCTGTCCCTGGGGAGGGTTCTGGTCACTTTCCTACACGACTGGAAAATCTCCTAGATACATTCATTCAACAAACGTTCAATACAAAGCCAGGCCTTTGGGCCGAATCTCACCCAGAGTCACATCCAGTCGGTGGGTGGGTCGATTGGTCGCCCAGACACAAACACATAGAGCCCACCACTTTCTCTTTTATACTTGCCTCCCCAGAGGGTCTCTCCACCCCTCAGTGCCCCAGTGTAATTCAGGGCCTACCTGAGCTGCTTTGACCTTGGCCATGGCCCAAGCAGGAGCTGCCTCCTTCTGTTGCCTCTAGACAGGTGGAACTATACTTGTGCGATAATGACCCCCTTTAAGAACCCTGCCTAGGAGAAATCCAAGAACTACCTTTCCCTCCTTCCTGGGCTCTGATAGAGTAGGGATAAAGGGAAAAAGGAAGCTGAAAGTGGGATACGGAGGGGCGGGATACAGTTCCTGGGACTATTGCGCATGCCTACATCTACTTTTCCATTTCACTAGGGCTGGAAAGGGGAGGGAGCAAGCAAGAGGGGATAGGACTGGAGAACAGAAGGGAAAGGGAGGGGGAAGGGACAAAAAGAGAGGGGGAAGTTGAAGAGCCCTTCTTATAGTATAAATGGCCTTTGGGCCAAAGAAAGGGTCCACTGTTTTCTTCCTCCTTTCCTCTGGGTACCTTGCACATAATAAATGCTCAATAAATATCTGATCATATTAATGAAGAGGTTCTGTTTCCTACACTGTCACGTCACTGAATCACATAGCTTAGTGCCTGGTCTTGAAGAGCAACTTGGGGTTGGTCTGGGTAACTTGAAAAGCAGACCTCCAAACCAGCAGAAATTTGCTGGAGGGAATGCAAGTGGACAGAATGGAAGAAAACCACTCAGGGTTTCTGGAAATAGAGATGGACGATAAGGTTACAGGATCTATGCACTGGCATTGCACAGAGGGGTTAGTCAGGAATTCCCTATGTGTCCTTAGCAAGTTGCACCCCTCTCTTAAATTGAGTTTCAGTTCTAATGTTCTATGACCCCGTGATTTTTTAGCACTTCAAAGCTGCCCTGATGTCAGCACTTACCCTAGAGAAAGTCCATAGAAGTTCTCTCCATTCCTCCTCTCTGTGATGCAGCCCTAAGGCATTCAACTCACTTCCAATTCCCTCCTTCCACTGTATTCCCTCCGAAGAAGCTTCTTCCTTTGGCTTTGTGAGAGGTAAAAGTAGAACTACCTTCTCTGGAAACTTGGAAGAATAGCAGATGCCCTTATCTAGTGAAAACACCGTAGTCCAGAGTCTCACTTTCAGTTTTTCATGTTCAAAAAGGAAGTTAAATGACTTGTCCAGGGTCACACAGCTAGCGAGTAAGCATCTGAAACCAGATTCTAACTCAGGCCTTTCTGACTCCAGAGTCAGTGCTCTATCCCCTATACCACCTAGCTGCCCCAAATAAAAGAGCAAGTATCATATGCAATGAGGATACACACCATTTTCAATGTTTTTTCAATGAGGCAAGGATGCCCACTCTTCCCAGTATCATTTGAAATAGTTCTAGAAATGCTAGTAATAATAATAATAAGATTACAAAGTAATTAAAGGAATTAAAGATACATAAAGAGGAGATAAAAGACCCTGTTTGCTGATGATATGATGGTTTACTTGGAAAACCCCAGGGAATCAGCAAAGATGCTAATTGAAACAATTAATAGCTCCAGCAAAGTTGCAGGTTACAAAATAAATCCTCAAAAATCAACAGAATTTCTATGTAATAATAACAAAACATAATAAACAATAATAGCAAAAGAAGTACCATTCCAAATAACTACAAATGCACAACATATCTGGGTATCAACCTCCCAAAGTACTCAAAAGACTTGTATAGGTTCAATTATAAAGTGCTCCTTAAAGAAATAAAGAATAGGGGCAGCTAGGTGGCATAGTGGATAGTGTACCAGCCCTGGAGTCAGGAGGACCTGAATTCAAATCCAGCCTCAGACACATAACACTCACAGCTGTGTGACTCTGGGCAAGTCACTTAACCTCAATTCCCTGCAAAAAAAAAAAAAATGAAGAACAACTTAAACAACCAGAGGGATATTCAATGCTCATGACTAAGCTGTGACAAAATAAGAAAAATGACAATACAACCAAAATTAATTAATGCTTTATCAATCAAGTTACCAAGGGGATATTTTACAGAACTAGAGGAAATGACAAAATTCATTTGGAAAAAAAAAAGATCTAGAATATCAAGGGAAATTATGAAAAGAAGTAAGGATGAAGGGAGAATAGCACTTCCAGACCTCAAACTATATTTTAAAGCAGCAATCATCAGAACCATCTGGCATCGGTTAAAGAATAGAGAGATCAGCAGAACCAGGAGAACACCTTACACAGTAACAGCCACATTGTATGATGACTAACTTTGATAGATTAGCTCTTCTCAGCAACGAAAGGAACTAAGGCATCTCCAAAAGTCTCATGATGGAAAATGCTATCCACATCCAGAGAAAGAACTATGGAGTTTGAATGCAAATCAAAGCATACTATTGCTCTTTTTTTTCCTTCTGCTTTGTTTTGTTTCTTCTTTCTTGTGGTTCCTCCTATTGGTTCTAATTCTTCTTTACAACATGATTAATATGAAAATATGTTAATAGGAATGTATATGTGTGTCTATATCATATTGTATGCCATTGGGGGGAAGGGAGGGGGAGAAAATTTAAAACTCAAAAGCTTATGGAAGTGATTGTTGAAAACTAAAAATAAATTAATTAAAAAATAAAAAGCAAAAAAAAAAAAGAATAGAGAGATAAATGGAACAGACTAGACAAGAGAGATTTAGAAACAATAGAACTCAATAACCCAGTGTTTGATAAAGTTGAAAACATAAATTATCTATAGAAAAACTCCCTATTTGATAAAAACTACCAGGAAAACTGGAAAACAGTCTGGCAAAAACTGAGCTTTGGCAAAAATTGGGCTTAGACCAACATATTACACCACATTCCACAGTATATTTTAAATAGATACATGACATTAATATTAATGACTATACAATTAAAAAAATAGAAGACAAACATACTTCTCACAGCTATGGGTAGGAAATGTAATCTTAGCCAACAAGAGATGGAGGCAATTACAAAAGATAGAACGGATAATTTTGATGACTTGAAACTGAAAAGCTTCTGCACAGACAATATTAATGCACCTAGGATAAAAAGGGAAGTGATCAAATGGAAAAAATCATCGTATCAAATTTCTCTTGATAAGGGTTTGCTATGCAAGATACATAAATAATCAATAAGTATATATAAAGAGAATAACCATTCCCCAATAGATAAATGGTCAAAGGATATGAATAGTTCTCAAAAGAAGAACTGCCAAATATTCATAGCCACATGAAAAAATGCTCCAAATCACTAATAATAAGAAAAATGCAAATCCAAACAACTCTGAGGCTTTATCTCACACCCTGAAAAGTGGCAAAAATTGCAAAAAAAAATGCCAATAGTCAATGTTGGAGGGGCTGTGGAAAGATAGGTACACTGATACATTGTTAGTGGAGCTGTAAAAAAAAAAGTAGTGGAGCTGTACTCTAATGTAGAGTGAAGTAAGCAGAACCAAGAAAGCAATGTACACAGTAACAACAAAGTAAATAGAAAGAACAACACACCAAAAAATTAAAAGTAAATATAACAAAATCATAAAGATCAACTGGAACTCAGATGAAGAGATGTGAGAAGACATTCCATGTTTTCAGGCTTTTTCAATATATCAATAAGTTGTGTGGACTTTTTTTCCCTTGCCTTCCAAAAAATACTATTTTTCATATAAAATGGCTCTCTGGGAGGGGAAGGAGGAGGGACACATAGGATTCAATGATGATGTAAAAAACAGAAAATGTCATTAAAAATTTTTTTCAAAAGAAAGAAATTCTGCCAGAAGGCATAAGGAAGTTGTAACTAAACAGAAGGATAGATCTTTGGAGAAGCAAATAAAGGAGACGGTGAAGTTGGTTTTATCATGTGCCCAAAAGCAACAAAAAGATCATTTCACTTGGTCATTTCACTTTGCAGTGCTATTAGTAAGCATAAACAAAATACCATCAAGAAGATCCTTACTTTTTGCGCCCCAACTGTTTGTGTTCCAAAACATGAAGAGATTGAGAAGTTATACACACACACACACACACACACACACACACACACACAGGTATCTGAATATATGATGACTTGAATGCAAAGGTATGCACAAGGAAGGGATTGTAAAAAAATGTGTTTGAAAATATGCTTCAGAATTTAGAAACAAAAGAAGCCCAGAGGTGTTCAATGATTTGTCCAAAGTCTGGGTTGAATTTAACAAACATTTATTAAGCAACTACCACGTGAGAGAAAGGTATTATGATAGGTGCTAGAGAAACAAAGACAAGAATGAAATAGTCCTTGCCATCAAGAAGCCTCAAGCCTGGATATCATGTTTTTCACAAAGAAACCTGAAAGGCACTGGACATGGTGAACACTAAACAACATATCAAAAAAAAAAAGAAAAGAAAAGAAAAAGAAAAAAGAAGAAACTAACTATGTCATAACAGTCAGGAAGCCTGTAATGACGATGAAGGAATCAATTTAAAATCAGCTGTCAATGTGCAGTCACATCATTAACTATTTAGAGCAAAGGTCAAAATAGCATCAAATGAGAAGGATAAAGATGAGATGAGAAGACATTGGGCAATTACAAAAGCTCCATCCTTCTCTATTTAAAGAAACTATTGATGCTGAAAAAATGGGAAATGGATAAAGGAAAAGGTGATTGATTTTTATTATTAGTTCTTACCTAAATGTACCTGATATAAGTCAGTCTCCAAAAGAAAGAGGCCAAAAGAACAAAGAGACTGATGTAGCCAGCAAACATTTGTTCTTTTTTCCAAGCAAAGAGAGATGCAAAAGCAACACTGGTTTAGAGTAAAAACTCAATTGTAAAACATTACAGAGTAGGATGGCACCACTATAACCTCAGAGAAAAATAGCAAATTGTGAAGTAAGTCTGGAAGGCATGAATTTGCATGAAACCCAAATAAATTCAATCATCCCTAATTGGATGAAGGACAACAAACTGACAGAAAAGGTAACAGGTTACCACATTGACTTGGACCCTCCAGTCACATTATACTTCTTTCTCAAAGGGTCAGGCCCTCTAGTTTGAAAAACTGCCTCAGAGGAAAAGGGAAGGAACTGTCTTCTAAATCACCATAAGGAAGTTTTGCACAGTAGATGTTCAGACCACAGCGTTGGCCAATGGCTTTGAATTGAATCTTCTAGGAATTGTGGGCAAGGCAGAGAAAACTGCTACTTTGGATCCTCTAGTCATCCTCCAGGCTTTCTCTTTCTCCTAGTCTGGGCCATGTCCCTGCCCTAAAGG